CATAAAGTCAAAACTTTATTGGCATAACTGTCAGGCATTTACAGTATTTGCAAAATATATGGTAGCATATTACTAATTATGCAAAACGTTAATTAGCCTAGGTAAAGCGATACAGTTGAAAGGGGAAATACAACAATAAATATAAAAATATCCCTAAACCAGTTAGCCTAATATAAAAATATTATTATAATGTTATTATATTACATTTTAATAATAATAATAATACATATAATAATAATAATAATAATAATAATAATAATATACAAATATTAAATAAAAAGACACGATCGGTTAACGAATTTACAAGACTGTGGGATGGAATAATATGTTTTATCCATCTCTGATGATCGCTGGTTGCTATGGACACGCAGGTTTGTTTACGCTTTAAACTCGTGGCCATGAGACAAATATGTCTTTCCCTCAACATAAGAAGTCGTGGCCACGAGAAATGGATTTTGTTCCCTCAAAATAGGATCTCGAGGCCACGACTTCACATTGCGTGGCCACGACATTTTATCAAGTTCCCACGAGTTATCTTTATTAACAAACCGCATATTTGAAGTCTAAACAACTACATTCTCGCCTAAAAAACTCTTAAAACTACATTCCGTGACACAAAAACAATATTACTTATAAATTATAGTGGATTTGGGCGTCCACCATGACACCCGCTGTGAGAAATTCTGCAAGCGGAGTAATATTCTGCGGAGTAAATAGTTCTGTTATCACTAGAATATAACATGCCTGGAAAAGGCTCTCGGCCTATATATATATATATATATATATATATATGTATATGTTAATATGTATGTACAGTATATATATATATATATACTGTATTTTCTCTAAAAACATCAAACTGCTGGTTCTTGTGTCTTGTGAAACAATTGCATCATGCCAAGTTTGAGTCCGTACAAGAGCAATTGAGGTTTGAGTAAATGATTGCAGAATTCTCATATTTTGGGTGGCTATTCACAGTTATGATTAATCTACCGATTGATTAATTAATTATAGCATAGATAGTGAGACTTAAAAATGTGTTACTTCTAGTTCAGTCACTTTTTTGTGAATCCTGCAAATGTGCATTCAGAATGGGAAATTGTGACACGTAATGATGTGATTTGCTCATTGAGAACATGAGACCGGCCTGTGTTCAGGGTGAGAAGAGACATGAGTCACGGGCAGATGGGAGATCTCTCTGTGTGTGTGTGTGTCTGTGTGTGGGCAGAGCGATCAGACGGACATGCTAATTAGTTCATGACACACTCACCCCTCTGTGCATGTGAATATTAACATGTGAAGCCCAAAGCCAACAGACCGACTGATAACACACAAATTCCAGCACAAAACAGACTATCACTGCCTTCAAAACACACACACACACACACACACACACACACACACACACACACACACACACACACACACACACACA